AGGGTCTTGGCAGTCCAGGACAGCCAGAGGGATGTCCTGAATTCTGACACATATGCCTCAAGTAAGCAGGGATAGCTAATGAATATGTAATCAGTGTGTATGATAAAAACTCTGCTTAACCAAAGCCCAGGGCACTTGATTAGAGGAAGGATCCTCTAAGTGACCAGCATGCTGCAAAAAAGTATACCTGTTTTCTAATACTAAAAACTGTGTTACAAAGTTTCTATACTACCAATTTGATGTCACTATAACTAGAATACAGGCCGTTAGGGCGGGGATCATATAGGACATGGCCACAGAGGAGTAGACCTTATTTCTAGGTAGACATCTATACCACCTCATGGAAACTGCCAGGCTCATGAAAGAAACACCAAATCATAGCTGGGCTCAGACAAATGGAATACCCATAGAGCAACACTGTTATCATTAATACCTTGCTGTTAATACTTTTGGAATTGCTACTAGTTCTTCTGCATCTATGCCATTGCATTTGTTCTATTATCAGTGTAAGCTCTAGTGAAGAATGAATATCACTGCTCTTTATGACCGTATCATCACAGATACCTGATGGCTGCAAAAATGCTTGTCCACAGTCTAGAACCTTCAATGTGATGGTGTAGCCATGATATTTTCTGAAAAATCCTTTCCTTAGGATTTTTTCTCCTGAGAAGCTGAGAGGCCTCAGGAACAAAATGTAAACAATAAAACCAATAATTATCTGCTGCTGTGGAATGCAACATGTGGATCTGTGATTGGTCTCATGTGGTTGTTTCTAATTAATGGCCAATCACAGTCCAGCTGTCTGGACTGTCTCAGTCAGTCACAACATTTTATTATCATTCCTTTTCTATTCTTTGCTAGCTTTCTGATGAAATCCTTTCTTCTATTCTTTTAGTATAGTTTTAATATAATATATATATCATAAAATAATAAATCAAGCCTTCTGAAACATGGAGTCAGATCCTCACCTCTTCCCTCTTCCTGGGACCCCTGTGAACACCATCACATAATGGTAGCTCAGAAAAATAGTCTACATTGGATGCAACATCCAAACACATCACATCATATTAATCAAGGCTCTCAATGCTATATTTATGCAGAGGAACTATTCATATAAAAAATACTAGGTGCTATAGGCAGATACAACATTAATATTAACCAGAACCTACAACAACATTTCAATCTTTGCAAATTCCTCTAGGCAAATAAGACATGTTATTTCGAATTAGTCCAGTGTGCCCTGAAACTAAGTATATATTCTAAGAAACAGGACTGATGAATTGGTTCATCCAGGCAAGTACTCTGTTTCTGAGGAACAGGCAAAGAATTTGAGCAGTCAGTACTGGAAGGAGCTGTACACAGAGGAAGTGTCTTCTCAGTCAGGGACCAGAGGTTATCTTAAAAAAAACAGGCTGTAAAAATTTATATCCTTTCCCAGGTTGCAGTGAGATTTCTCCCACATAACTTTAGCCATACTGTTGCCTGGAATCATACAGAATCACTAGGTTGGAAGAGACCTTCAAGATCATCGAGTCCAACCCATGCCCTAACACCTCTACTAGACCATGGCACTGAGTGCCACATCCAGTCTTTTTTTAAACACATCCAGGGATGGTGACTCTACCACCTCCCCAGGCAGACCATTCCAGTACTTTATCAACCTTTCTGTAAAAAACTTTTTCCTAATATCCAACCTATATTTCCCTTGGTGCAGCTTAAGACTGTGTCCTCTCATTCTGTCAGTTGCTGCCTGGAGAAAGAGACCAACCCCCACCTGACTACAGCCACCTTTCAGGAAGTTGTAGAGAGTGATAAGGTCACCTTTGAGTCTTCTTTTCTCCAGGCTAAACAACCCCAGCTCCCTCAGTCATTCCTCATAGGGCCTGTGTTCCAAGCCCCTCACCAGCCCCATTGCCCTCCTCTGGACACACCCAAGGGTCTCAACGTCCTTCCTAAACTGAGGGGCCCAGAACTGGACACAGTACTCAAGGTGCGGCCTCACCAGTGCCAAGTACAGGGGAAGAATGACCTCCCTGCTCCTGCTGGCCACACTGTTCCTGATACAGGCCAGGATGCTGTTGGCCTTCTTGGCCACCAGGGCACACTGCTGGCTCATGTTCAGCTGACTGTCGACCAGTACCCCCAGGTCCCTTTCTGCCTGGGCACTGTCCAGCCACACCGTCCCCAGCCTATAACATTGCAGGGGGTTATTGTGGCCAAAATGCATGACTCGGCACTTGGACTTATTAAACATCATCTTACTGGACTCTGCCCATCTATCCAACTGTTCCAGGTCTCTTTGCAGAGCCCTCCTACCTTCCAACAGATCAACACACGAACCCAGCTTAGTGTCATCCGCAAATTTAATAATGGGCGACTCAATACCCTCATTCATGTTGTCAATAAAATTATTAAACAGAACTGGCCCCAGCACAGACCCCTGAGGGACACCACTGGTGACTGGTTGCCAGCTGGATGCCACACCATTCACCACCACTCTGTGGGCCCAGCCATCCAGCCAGTTCTTAACCCAGCAAAGAGTGCACCTGTCCAAGCCATGGGCTGCCAGCTTTTCCAGGAGTTTACTGTGGGAGACAGTGTCAAATGCCTTGCTGAAATCCAAATAGACAACATCAACAGCCTTTCCTGCATCCACCAGGCAGGTCACCTGGTCATAAAAGGAGACCAGGTTGGTCAAACATGACCTACCCCTCCTAAACCCATGCTGGCTGGGTCTGATACCCTGACAATCCTGTAAGTGCTGCATGGTGACACTCAATAGAAACTGTTCCATTACTGGGTACTGAGGTCAGGCTAACTGGCCTATAATTACCAGGATCCTCCTTCCCAAACTTTTTGTGAATGGGCGTCACACTGGCCAGCTTCCAGTCATCTGGAACCTCACCAGTGAGCCAGGACTTGGTAAATGATGGAGAGTGGCTTCGCAAGCTCATCTGCCAGCTCCCTCATCACCCTGGGATGGATCCCATCTGGGCCCATAGATTTATAAACATCCAAGTGGCTCAGAAGTTCTCTGACTGCCTCTTCCTGGATAACAGGGGGACCATTCTGCTCCCTGACACCATCTACCAACCCAGGAGGAGAGCTGTCCTGAGGACAACCCGTCTTCTAACTAAAGACTGAGGCAAAGAAGGCGTTAAGCACTTCCACCTTCTCATCTGCAGTTACTAAGTTCCCTCCTGCATCCAATAGAGAACAAAGTTTGGTCTTACCCTTCCTTTTACCATTGATATATTTGTAAAAACATTTTTTATTATCCTTTACAAAAGTTGCCAAATTAAGTTTGAACTGAGCTTTGGTCTCTCTAATTTTTTTCCTACATGCCCTAGCAACCCTCTTAAAAACTTCCTGAGAAGTCAAATCAGAAGACAAACTTTCAAAAAATATTAAAAGTGGTAACATAAAGAGCAGTTCTTTAATGAAAGCTTCCAGGTGCACAAATTATAGCTATGCTTACCCGCAGCATTGGATTTTCACAATTTTTATAAGTTTAACCAATTAGTCTATCTAGCAAGTATATTCAATAGGAGACCAGTTGTCCTGGTAACCCACCCTTGGATCTGCCCCATTGGAGTCGCTCCAAGGGGTTCTTAGCCCTATATCTTGCTATGTCTCTCAAATGCTGATGCAAAACAGGATGTCCTTGTTAGAAATTCTTTTCTTGAAAATAAGAGTAAATAGAATTTCAAGTGTGACATGTGAGAAAGGGTAACTACTGTTCCAAAGTGTAAGAAAGTGCTAGAAACTATACAGCTATATATTAAAAACCTACAAAGCTACAAATATAAGAAAAAGCTAAAAATATTTAGGCATCAATATAAACAAGACGCCTAGTGTAAATCAGTGCCTGGCATCTGTCAGTAAAGTGAGAGGAACATCTTAGAAAGGCTGATTTATCTCAGACTGCTCTATCCCATTATAGAAGGGGATAAAAAACTTTTAGGAGGTGATTGAATTTCTCTTCAGTGAGTTTCTGTGTATTGGGGAGCAGATGTCTAACTTTTACATGGTAATCAAGAGGAACCAAGCTTTTGTTTTGGTAATTGTAGATGTTTTCTGATACCAGTTCTCCCTGGAATTGCTTGAGCCCAGTCAAAATTAGTTACACAAAGCCCTTTGAAGTTCTGGAGCCTTCAGAGTATGGGTATAAGCATCTTGTCCAGAAACACTGCTTTTCTGGCATAAGCATTTATATCTATATCTATACCTGAATGTGCAGAAAACCTATGTTTTTAGTATCTTATTAAGTGAACTGCTTTAAAACAAAACAAAAAAGTTAACAAAAATATTTAGATTGCCAGTAGGGAGGGAGGGAAATACGACTAAAATTTTGCTGCACTGCCACAAGAACGATTCAGGAGACTGAACTCTTGGCCTTGCACAATGGAGCTTTTTTCATCCAGCATCAGGGTTGCAGCTGGAGCCTCGGCACGGCCATGATGCTTCAAGGCTGAGATCCTGGCAGAGCCTCGGGGAGTGGGAGATGGCCAAGACAACAATAAGGGTCTGGTAAGACAGGGTAAGACAGCAGGAGGGCAAAGGAGAAGGTTGTATATGTGAGGGACGACAGACCTTCGCCGGCCAGGAGAACACAAGCGGAGGGCTCACGTGGAAGGTCGGGGTGTACCTCAAGACCACCCTTGCGGCGGCACCTCGGGAAATTGTTCTCCCCCCTGCGTTCTTCCTGCTTCCGGGGGCCGCCGCCGGGAGCATTTGCCGCAGATGACATCAGCTGTGCATGCTGGAAAAGTGGCTGTGCGGGGATGCGCCAGCTCCCTCCCCGCCCCCCCGCCCCTTTTCCTGCTCCTTCTCCTCCTCCTCGCCACGTCCCTGCCCTGTACCGTCTCCATATAAAAGCGCCGCCGCCTCCCCATCCACCCTCACTCTCTACCTTCTGCGGAGCAGCCGCGGAGCGACCTTTCTCCCCCCAGCACTCCGAGCACTCCGGAGCCGCGGAGCGGAGGAGTGAGGCGCCGGCGATGGCCACCGTGGTGGTGGTAGAAATGGATTCAGAAGCCTCCTGTAGCATCCCCAACCCCACCTCCCTCTCGCCCAGTCTTTCGCACCGCTTCCTGGACAGAAAATTTTACCTGCTGGTGGTTATTGGCGAGCTGGTGACCGAAGAGCATCTGCGGCGGGCTATCGCCAACATCGAGCGAGGTGAGACGCAGGAAGCGCCGGAGCCCCCACCCCGCAAACGCCTTCCCCTCAGAGGGCAGGCAGTCGCTTTCTTCCCCTTCCGCGCGGGGCCAGCAGGGGCGCTGACCGGGTTCGGCTGGCGGGGTGGGGGTGCCTGGACGCTCTTGCTAATGATCGGAGCGACACATGCAGAGCACAGACACATAAGCTGCGAAGTCTAGGTCTCTGGTTTCTTCTTTTTATTGCACGAGGGACCCATCTGCGCGCACGCCCCTCCCGTCCTACCGGACTCGGAACCCCTCCGTCGGGTGCGAGCGCCGGGAAGCCGCCCGCAGCGGTCAGCGACTGAGGGCCGGTCCCCGTGCGGCGTCTGCAGGCGGCGGCGGCCGCTCCCTGCTACCGCCCGCACAAAGATCCGCAGTCGGCTCGACGTATACTGCGCCCCACTGTTCATCCCCAGGAGCGTCTAGCGAGCAGCGGTCAAAGGTGGCAAGCCTCCTCCTCACCACTGTTGGAGTGGAGTGGCTGCGGCAGCGATCTAGCGCCGCCGAGACCTTCTGCCGGGACACAGTGGCGGGTGGGCCCGGCGCAGTCCGCACTGCGGTCCCTATGGCAGCCCGGAGCTGACAAAGGGCGTCCGCGCCTCCAAAAAAAACCGGGGCTGGAACTGGGGCGGTTGGGCTGCGGGGCGGCCGTTTGGCGTTTCCCTCGGTTCCTCAGCAAACCCTTGTTCCCCACCGCGAAACCAAATCAGCGGGATCCAGAGCGTTTTCCTTCTCAGTGACAAAGATCCCTGAGCAGGAATGCGGCTGTGCCTATTGTGTCTAACTTTCGGCTACGAGACTTTTCTCCTGGCTGGAGAATTTTTCAGGACCTAGGCTCTATATGCACATAGATATTTCAAAACCCAAAAATATACGGGTAATAAGGCTAATACCTGAGTGATCAGCCTCATTATTGTCCAGCTACAGGATGCTATGATTCACTGTTTATTTGTCCTGAAGACAGCAATACAGAAAGGTATCGCTAGTGAAATAACAATATTATAACTTCTCGATGTGGTTTCTGATACAATAAATTGTAGTGTGCATGGAGAGGGGAACAGAGCCCTGTTGCTGTAATAGTGGCATGAAGCACAAAGAAAATTATTGCTGGGCTCTGTAGTTTGTTAAATTCAATTGATAAATGATTTTGTAACATATTTTTGTTCTGGGCTGGTGAAAACAGAAATATCAGAATCCTGTCATTGTTAGGAGAGACCTTGGAAAGGGGAATTGGTAGCAGCCTTGTCTTATAGGTGTGGTTCAGCAGTCCAGCTAGGACTTGATTTGTCTCTATTGTTTTCTCAACTATTGTTACTTTAGTTGGCAATTTCTCTCGATTCTTTTTTCATAACTGTTTGTGGTAAAAGGCTCTCTCATCACTGCTAACCAGCTTCACTGTGACCTGTGCATGTTTATTGCTACCATTGTCTCCTAGAGACAACTACTGAGTCAGATGCTTTGTCATTCAGAGCCTCTTCAGCACTGCACTTGTCTAATGCTATCTTAAGTTTTGGTTGTGCCAGAAGTATATCGACTACATTTATTTACATTTTTGTCCACTTGCTCTATACATTTTAATACTTATGCCCTCAAAACAGTTGATGCCATTCTTCTCTGAAAAAATGCTCTTCAGTTTCTTCATTACACTCTTCTATTAGTCTCTTCTATTGTACAGTTGCTGCCACATAGCTCTGTTGCCTCTGTCTACCTCTTGCCACTTGCAGTTTTAGATCTTCAGAAGGAATGCTTTTGCCTTTTTATTAATCATTTTAGGTTAGAAGTCACCTCACGGTTCCTGGTGTCAGTCTGATTGAAATTTTGCCTGCTAGGAAAAAACCTTGATCAAATTTTGAGGTGCATTGTTCTGGATGAGTATACTAGGAGTCTGAAGCTCTATGTGAGGCAAATATGATCTTGGATAATCTCTTTCTTATGGAAAAATATGCTGTAGTCTGGAAAAAATTGCTTCTTTCAACCTTTATTCTCAATATAGCCTTAGGGTTCTTGATAACTCTGCCTCACTGTCTTCTCTGGTGCGTCTCCTAAGTACCATCACTGAAAAGTGTGTATTCATGCACTGAACTACAGTACATGTCAAAGAAAACATCTGCTGATAACACATCAGTGGTGTGATACCATGCAACCTGGTGGAATGCACAGTAATTTCTCAACATGTCATGAAGAGGGAATAGTATGGTGAGCTGAATTTCCAGTAATTACACTTAGGATGTCACTTTGTTAAGGGGGCAATCTTCCAACCCATTGTCCACCAAAAACAGAGGGAGCAAAGACAAAGCTTCAAGATTTTTCCACTCGTTTGGCAGATGTCATTGGGTGTTCCCTGTCTGCTAAGTCCTGTGTCTAGAGGCATTGCACTCCTAAGCCTGCAGAAATAGCTCCAGTTCAGTCATACTTCCACTAGTTACTTCCATGCTTTTAATGATATACATCATTGGATTGATCTTGTATTTTAGTTCCAGAATTGCCTCTGTTCTACCCAAACCTGATTTGGTATATAATACATACTACATTATAATGTATGTCCAGATTTTTTGCATCCAGAATGCTGAATCATACAGCTGCAGATTTGGGATATTCTATTGTCATGAGTTGGTGCTGGCACAGTGCCAGTGCACCCATGAAAACATATTTTTCTCAAATGGCTGCTGTGAGATACAACCAGAAACAGAGCAGAGCAGGCTCAAGCTCAGAAATAAATTTAAAAAACTTTATTACTCTATACTATAATAAAAGTAACACAGAATTCAAAATGAAAACCTTCCAAAACATTCCTCCTCCCCCCACCCAATTTCCACCAAAGCACAGTGAGACAAAATTTTGGATTGTCAGTCAAGTTGCCACTTCTCAGATAATCAATTCTCAGTTCATCAAGGGAGAGAGGAATCTTTCTTGTACCATAGTGGAAACACAGTTGAAACCTTTTATGTTTCCATGGCACTACCCAGAGAAAATCTGCCATCGTGACATCCTCCTTCCATGCACAGTGCTCTCACCACTGTCCATGGACCAAAACTGCTTATAGGATTCCTTTTAAGGATGCTTTGCCAAGTACCAAAAAAAACCAATTGCTCTTTTTGGGACAACAGCCCCCCCCCCCCCCCCCCCCCCATTTTCACCTCCCCTGGGGCCAAGGGTCTTGAGAATAGAGATCTTCTTCCCTGAAGACAGAGGGCACCACCATACCTTCCTCATCTTTCTCTGTTCACTCCTGCACTGGCAGTCACTGCAGCAGGTCCCTCTCACTCCTGCACTAGCAATCACTACAGCAGGTCACTTTCTTGGCTCAAGCCATTGCATCCCCCTAAATGCAGTCTCTGTGTGTCACGATCCATCCTCACGAATGGGTTTTGTGATGGTTCGTGGATTGATCTCAGGGTGCAAAAAACTGACACGGCACAGGGGATTTGCAGTAATAATCAAAACAAATATACCTTTATTGAATGACCACAGCAAAATGCGATAGAGGGATTAAGGGAGAGAAAAAGAGAAAGAAAGAGAAAAGAGAGAGAGAGAGGGGGATATAGCTACCAAACATAAAGATGAAGTCCTTTGGTCCAGTCCAGTCGAGGATCTGCCTGTTACATCAGGGAGATCTCAAAATCTCTAGCTAACTCAGAGGTTTTTATTATGATAATTCTATTGAAAATTGTGAGGGAGGAGAGGGGGAAACAGGTACAATAAGGAATAGATGTAACATGTAGTCTATGTTCTCAGCAGTAAACGAGAGCCATTGTTTTTGTGGTCCAGTGGTCACATCCTGCAGGCAAACATCTCACTTTGGTCAGCTTGCCTCCCCCACACACCTCCCCTGGGTTGGGGGTTTCAGTCCCAGTCCTTGGAAGGAGGAGAGGGGCCTTTTCACATAGGGGTTTCATGTCTCAGTTCTTGATGGAGAGGCTTCTTACATCTCAGTCTGTCACAGTGGTTGTAAAACAGGTGAGGGTCTTCTGTGGGAGGCCACCTGAAACTCAAGAGAAGTCCAGCCAGGCCAAGAGGTGGGACAGCTTCCAAGGCTATTGTTGCAAAAAGGGCATGGTGCCCCTTCTTCTTCTCATTGGGCTCAGTGTAGCATACAGCAAACAATACCTGTAAAAACAATAGCTTAGCAATGCTCTCAGGTCTCAGGCACATGACTCTCCCCCTACAGGATCAGCACACATTAGGGGTTTTGTTTTTTCAGTGGTCTCCCCAATGATGACTGTGAGGCAGATGAGGGCTATTTCGGACAGACTCTCACACTGTGTTACAGGAAAATTGGTTCAGTCTATGGCTATACAAGAAAAAGTCCAGCCAAAGGCCAGTCCATCATCTCTTCCCACCTAGGATTCTTTCCCATCTTCTTCTGACATCTCAGGTCCCAGGCTGCCTCTCTTTTTCAGATCAAGGAGGATTAGTGTTTCGCAAAGTTTTCTTTGTCCAAGAAAGGGTAAAAGTCTCGGGCTCTGCTGCCCTCAGGATGGCTGAAATCTCACAGCAGCTTGTCCAGGACTCCCACAGCTGGGTACCTTCCCCCCTCCTTCTCTTTCCCCTCTGCTTTAGTGCTGCCAGCACATGATATCAAATTTCAAGGTGGCATAGGCTCTCTCTCTCTGGGGGGGGGGGGGGGGGGGGGGTCCTGCCCGGGACATCTCAGTGTTTCTCCAGCCCTCCATCCTGCAGACACTGGCCCGGTTCCATTCCCTTCACCCCCCTTCTCTGTCCAGGGCTCCTGGCCTACCTCAGCCTAGGCTGCATGGCTTCCCCTCCCCCGCCCAGCCACAGGCTGGGCGGGGGAGGTCTGAACTCTTCACTGACCGGAACAAAAGAGAGTTCCTCTGGGAGTTGTCTGCTTTTAACCCCCTGTGTTCTTAGAGGTGTGTCCATGTCTTCAGTGGTTACACCAGGTGTCAATATCCAAATCTGACCACTGATTGGTTTGGCTATAACTTCCTGAGAAAACTCACTTCCTTGTCAACC